CTTTTTCACAGTAGAAAACTTTTCTCGTGGTGGAAATAGGTTCAGTTCGGAAAGAGATCTTGTAAAAATAAAAACGCGTAAATATAGGCCTATTTATACACGTGAAGTTATCACTTCATGATGTCACCAAATTTTTCCAACCAGTAAAAAATGTTTGTATTGTGAATTCACTTATCAATTACTAAGTATATTTACATATAGTATAAGATATTAACATCTAATTTAAATACTATCTAATTTCTTGTAAAGTAATTTATTGTAAGCTGCAGTGTAAATAATAAATATAAGAAAATATAATATAAAATAATTTTAATTGATAAGTTATATATATTTGAAATACAAGTTAAAATTTAAACTTGATAAAAATCAAGTTATCAAATTAATATATTGTATAACATATAATTTTTTTAATTAAAACCAATTATTTTTTTTTTAAAAATAATAATATAATTTATAAACTAGTTATAAATAAAAGTAATTCTATAGTATTCATATATTTATAAATAAATTTAAATAAATTTTTATAGGAATTAAATATATTAAAAAAAGATTTTAAACAATTTTGAATATAACTGTAAATAGATTTAATTGTTTTTGTTTAGGTTACATAATGAAATTTGATTAAACAATCATCAGGTATTCATTAATTGAAGATATGAATTGATTTTAATTTTTTTATTATAAAATACAATAATTATTATTATAATAAAATAAATATTAAATTTAATAAATTTATTTGATCATGTTTTTTAAAAAATGTTTTCAAGTTTAAATAAATGTAACAATAATAATATAAATAATATTTATAACATTATAAAAGTATATTGTTAAAAGATTTTTTTTATTTTTTCTTGACAAAAATTATAATAAATAGAAATTTTTTAAAAAACAGATGTAATCAGGAAAGATTTTTTAATTATAATAAGTTTTTATAAAAATAAAATAGGAATTATGTATTTACTGTATAATGTATTACAAAACTGTTTGAAATTTTTTATTTTTGTTTAATATTCAAAAATTCCTATATAAAAATAAATTCCACATACAATATATACAGTATAGTACGTATATATAATATTTTTGAAGTTTTTTGTAATGTAATTAAATTTAGAAATAATAAATACGATTTTTAATTAAAAAAAAATTTGATTTACGAGTTAACTAAAATATTGCATATTTTTTTTTTGCTTTTTCATAAATTCAATAAGAAATAGGAAATTAAATTGGCGTTTTTATTATAACAAAAAAAATCCTTTTTTACTTATTATCCATATTAATTTTTATACAGAATCCGGTTCCATTCTAAATTTTTTTCTCTTATGATGAGATTTGGTAAATTCGATAATACTGTAATTACAGATAATAAATAGTTTCGACAAAAGTTTCTTTACTTTAAATAAACAGTCACAGCACAATTCAATATCATGGAGTCGATATACAGTGCTTATTCCTAAGATCATGCGTTGCTGGTAATGAATGCATCGATAGCTTCACTTACTTGATGCCATGAATTTTTTTCTTTTAAAAAAACAAATGACAAAGAATTTTGATTCAATGATGAACAACGAAGAAAGAAAAATTCGAAATCTTAAATCATTTAATGATTTTAGTGATTATGCTGTTATACGAATTTAATAGCAAAATAACATCATCTTTATGATAAGAATATTTTTAATAATGCTTCCATAAAAGGAAACAAGAATCTTGGTACCTGTTTCAGGGAGGATGATAGTCACTCAAATTCCTCTGGTGCTTCCTGGCATGAAAATTTTGATGTTAATGGAATAAATGGACAATGTGAAGGTAACAATATTTTTAATAAGGTAACCCCAGTTTTCGAATTCTATTTTAAGTATCGAAAATATTTACCCGATTACCCATCATGTGGTGTTCTTTTTGAAATCATAAAAATCATAAGTATTGTTCATTAACATCAGTGTGGTACATGATCACATTACATAATCAAACTTTACCTCCATTTCCCGAAAACCTTAAACAATCATGCATTATGGTATCAACTGTCTTTATTCAACCTATTTTCGGATCGAATGATTAGGCGCCTATCTAAAGAGGCATATTGCACTCTTGTATCCTCGTTATTCCACGACTAAGCACAAACTCAAGCCACAGAGAAATCGCGTGTCGCGATACTTTCTTGGTTTCCTTCATCGACTTTTTTGGGTTAAATAAAGTCCAGCTCACATAAGAATCTTACCAGTTAACATAATATTAGGAAGTCTATTCCCTTTGTTCTTCACAGATTAAAACGATATTCATCCCTTGCATATTCGTCAAATTGGAGATACGTGACATCAGAAGATCAGTCCAAATTTGTCGTGAATAAAAATACGTATTATTTTCGTGCACGAATTGTTCAACTTCACCAAATTCCATGTTATTGGTTCACGTAAAAAAAAGTCGCTTTGTTTATGCGATCTGCACAATTTATTCAAAAACCAAACCTCGACAACCCAGATAATCGAGTCCTTGTTTCTGTGAAATATTATTGACGCAGTAATAATGAATTTGTACTGTAGACCTTGTAATCATGTAGCGTGACACGAGTCAGACTAACCTGCTTATCAAAATTGACAATTCGCCGAATAAAAATCTGAAACGAAGCAAACATTAAAACCTGCACGAAACTTTTTCTGAAACCCTCACATCTTCATTCGATGGACATGATCACTCATGCATTAAACTGTCATCTTTAAGAAATTAGATTTATCGCGTTCTCCAGAAAACAGTATATATAACCTTTCAAAGGTGTTCTTCTCCTCATCCAAAAAAAAAAAAAAAAAGTAAGAAAAAAATTATATAGATTTAAATACAATTAGACTCGCATTGTAAATATCTTCGCTGTCATCACACGTATATCTTTTTTTTTTTTTTTTTTTTCAATTGAAGATTTCCAGGCTAGACCTTGTTATCTTCAAAGTATATAAATACAACACATCCTTCATTCATTAAATTAAGATATCGAGGCGAGACCTTGTTATCTTTTTTTTTTTAAAGAAATAATTCTCTTAGATTAATTTTAAAAAAAAAAATTCATATTTTTCCCTTCTCCTGTACATAAATCCAAAATCATGAGCTCTGCCAATTCTTTAAAACCCTTCTCCACCGCTGAAATCTACCATTCCTTCCTTCAAGGAGTTTTCGACTTCTTTGATATCACACGTGAACAAACGATAAAACTCATTTCTCTTCTGCAACAAAAACAAAATCTCAAGAATTCATCGATTCTAAATAAAAATCCGGAAAATGAATTTCAAATGGTCGACACCGCGGAAGACGCAGAAGAAAGTCACGGGAAAGAGAATATCAAGCCGGTATTCTTTAGGTTCGTATCTAAAATGCTTTCGGTTCTCCTTAAATTCTCTGGAGAATAAAGAGTGTTGTAATTTTACCCTCAATTTATTATCAAAGAAACTCATCCTTTTCTTTTTACTGCCACAGTCCACAAACACCTCACAGAATTGATCAATATCACGCCTTCATAACTGACTGTCCATCACCAAATTTATACGCAAATCTGGTTCAGTTTCAACATGTCTACCAAAGTTTTTCTTTGGAACCTCTCGACTATTCTGAATTCAGTCCAACCGACGCCGAGAATAATTTTTCTATGGAAACTTTTGTTGATCACTCCAAGCTCAACTCGGGTGACAACGAAGCATGTCATTTGAGTAAGGATAGTAAGAAAACTGATACCGAAGAAAACAAAAGATGGTCGCAAAAAACGCTTGTCTATTTTACGCTCCCAAGGGTCAATTCACGTGATGATAAATCGGAAACAATTCAGTTTCTTAAAAAGGCAAAGTTCGACGATCCACCTGTGAACGATGAAGCTCGATCATGCAAGGAAACGCCATTTCTCAACGTTACAACCTACCTAAAAAAGATTTTTCACAATGCCCTTTCTCATGGTCAACCAAGGAAAACCACTCACTCGTCTAATAGCAATGATAACATGACAACAACAAATTGCCGTAAGACGCGTAAGCCAAAATCCCTGAAAAACAAAAAACTCCGAAAAGTTTCTTCTTTTGCTAGTGCAAAACCATTTGACATTCAATTGTTAGACATGGCAAGTGTATTAAATAGAAAGAAGGGACGAGAAGGTAGAAAATGCGGTAATAGAGAGGAAATCACATTTGAAAATGACAGCGAAGACGAGTCTACGCTCATAGATTTGGACGAATACACAACGAACCTTGAGGAGGATGAAGAATACATTGTGATAGATTCACAAGAAAACACTCTCGGATTAATTGATTTCAACGACTTTGTGGAAAATCAAAAGATATCTGAAGACAAGATCGAGAATGCTCGATGTAAGTCATTTTTTATAACTAACTTGGATTAAACTTCCCTTTACAATTGTGCTTACATTACTCCTGTAAAATAGGGCTATTCAATTTTTACGACAAAGACAATGACGGATTGATTGATCCGAGTGAGATGAATCAAATTATTTATGAGATTTATCATTAAGAACGATTCATTCAATCGTTTAAGAAAAAATCAATATATTTGTCTTTACGGAATTTTTTCAATAATAATAATAAAAAGTCTCTTTGCGTGTCAATATACTTTATATTTGTAATTAATGACCTTATATTTTATTGCATAAATACACGTAAAAATTAAAGGTACTAACTAGTAAATATGGGTAGAGAACGTGAAACAAGCAAACGCGATATGTACGTAAAACAAAAGTTGAAAAAGTATTTTAGAAATTATTGATGAATAAACTACTCAGAGGCGATGAGTGACCTTATTGTATAAGAGAAACTGAGCAACAATGACAAAGTCTACGCACAGTTGTGTCACTCCACAAAGAATAAATTGAAGCGGTGACTCTGTGTAAGCGTAATAAAAAACCTTGAATGCATCCCCTATGAACCACGTAAAAAGAATTATCGAACTGTCGGATATATCGGATGCAATCGATATTAATTAATCGTCAAACAAAGATAACCAAAACATGTACAAGATCAGACCGATGTCCTCGCCCACCTAAATCCTATCACTGATTTGTTTTTATAATTTTGCCACGCTTGCGGCATGGGAACCGCGCTCTCAATGCCAAGTGCCTTCGGGTATTATCAAGCGGTAAATAAGCAGGACAAAGGGTTTGAAATATTCATAAATATCATAAATACTGTATCTTACCAGATATCCTAAAAGTTCGATATACCAAGTTTTATTGTCAAAGAGATAAAACGTCACGCTCAACATCGCGACCAATGAGGCTAAGCAAACCATGTAAGGCTCAAAGGTGTGCCAGTTCCAAAACCAACGACGTCGATTATTGATCGATGAAGTTGGAATTCGATATCGGATGCATTCAAAGAGAAGCCACATTTGAACGGATATCATCGCAATACTCTGATAAAGGAGTGTAATATCAAATCTTCTTCCTAACCTAAGGAAATTGCATTGTGCAAAAGTGAAGCCGCGAATAACAAACCAGGTAACTGAAATTTTGATGATTACTTACCAGAAATAGATGCGTATGATGCTAAATCAAAATAAAAATCGTTGAATTTTCAAAAGCATTAATCTTGTTAAAAATACTGCATCGGGAATTTCGCATCGAACTAGATGTTAACCTGCTAATTAATAAGATCCCGGGTGTATCCAAAGAGAATCCGGAACTTGATCTTGTTGC